CCATTGCCCCCCCAGCCATGCCATCCTCCCGGACAGATTTATGAGGGCCCTTTGTGAGCCAACCAGATGTCGGCCCTCCACAGCACCCAGCCGGCTGATAAACCAACGACACCCAGCTAAAACCTGGGGGGCCGCACTCAGCCGGGACAGGAAAGCCGGGCAGGGCTCCACCGGGGACCCCTCACCCCCCCGGAGCAGCACCAGAAGCACCCACCTTGCCCCCGCCAGTGCCGGGGTGCAGCGGGATCCGCAGGGCTGCAAGGGGGCTGCCCAGCCCCGGGGGTCCCGGCACTGCCAGCCACGCCGGGATGCCCCTAGCCCTCTCTGCCAAGCGAGGGCAGAGCCACCCCTTTGCCCTTCGGCACTGTGCCGCGCTAATCCCCGGCTTTCACACACTTGCCATGCCAGAATTACAGCCCTCCCCTCTGCCCCAAACTAAGCCTATATTAATGAGGTAGCACTAGATCTTAATCAAAAAGTCGCCTGCCTTGCAAGGCTGCCTTGCACTGGTTTCATTGAAGGTAATTTGATCTTGGTAGGACGACATTCCTAAAATAGTTGAGGGAATTCAAACATGAAATAAGGTTTCCAGGAAGGGATTAAAAAAAAAATAGGTCAAGCAAGCGTGAGCGATTAAAGTAACCCAGCATCCCTTTGTATGGCTTAACTGCACCTCTGTTCAACTCTATCTTGTATCAACGTGTAATAAATTAGATGCAAGAGGTTGCCTAAAGCAGAGAGGCCGATATAAGATTATTCCACGAGGTGGCTGAACAGCGGTGACCTTTCCTCCTCTGGCTTTCACCGCTGATGTCAAAACACACGTCCCAGCTGAAAAATCAGCTTAGAGCTTGTTTGAAACGGCCTCAAGGAGCACGAGCCGCCCGGTGCAAAGGTGCACACGACAGCAGCAAGCTCTGGGTGCCAGCACTGCCTCCGTCCCACAGGAAAGCCCTGCCGAACTCCCTGCCTCAGTTCACCCATCCATCTCAAGCCTTGCAGGAGGGAAACCGAGGCACCCCCGTGCCTGCTCGCGTCCCCCCCGGGGCCGGCCGCAGCCGTCATGCAAAGCCCTCGCGCCATATGTCACACAAACCCATCTTTAACCGCTTAACCCTTCTTCTCCCTTTGTGCTCCCAGCTCAGCACAAAAGCACCGGGGAGTGAAAGAAAATAAAAATCCCTGCGGAGACGAAGGTGCGCGGCTCTCCCCGGGGCTGAAGCCAGGTCAGGGTGCGCGGAGTCACCTCCAGGCAATTTTCGGGTTAGATTTGGTCAGCAAGCACCGAACGGGGAGCAGGCGAAAGCCAACCCAGGCTGGGGGCAGGGCCGGCCCCGCTCTCCGGTTAATTAGCACGGCTGACTCCCAAATGCTAATTTGCCATTTTAGGTCAAGGGTCAAAGAAATTAAAGGACGGGAGGGGAAAAACGGAGAAAGAGCCTGAGCAGAGGCAGCCCCTTCCGCTCCAGATCTTTGCATAGCAGGAACATACTGGGAATGGACTTGAATGGACTGGGATCAGGCTGGGCTGACCCTGCCCCAGCCCGGTGGTGCAGAGCATCTCTGCAGGATCCGGCCCTGGGCATCCCACAGAGCCAGGCAGCCCGGCAGGGACAGGCAACGCAGACCAGGGCCAACGCAGGCGAAAGGCAGAACAAGGGGCCCCCCAGCCACCAGCATCTCCGGCTGCTGCTCTCCTGCCATCAGGGTTTAAGGGCCGCCGCTTAATGTGCAAAGGAAAAAAAAAAAAACAACCCGTATTGATTTGCCCGAGGCTCCGTGGAGCAGCGAGATCACACGAGTTTCTATGGAAACAAAATTAGTCAAGTAAAACTCTCACTGACGGCACGGTGAATTATTTACCAGGACAGGCCCCTGGCCATTAGGGTCTGGTAAAAAGATTTAAAGGTGATCACCGCACAGGCTGCTGGCAATCCCCTCCCTTGGGGCACTAAACCACAGCCAAGGAGGAGGAAAGCCCCTGGGTTTCCTCGCCATGTGCGCGGTGAAACCCACTGGGGGGACCTGCGTGGGAAGGTCCTGCACCTCCATCACCGCGTCTGCAGCTTCAGGTGTCCCCGGGGAGGGGATGAGGGCAGCACGGGGAGACGACGGGGAGATGCAGCAGCAGGGAGATTGTGATGAGCAGAGAGGAATAAGCTGGCGTGAAAGAGGAGAGCCGCAGGCATCCGAAGCTGTCGCCTTCCTGGGGTTTTGCTTTTTTACGACAACTTGACCGTACCGACGAGCAGGCGTACGAGCACGGGGACTCTGCCCGGCTGCTCACCGGCCGGCTCCTGCCGGCCCTCTGGGAAGGCGAGCGGATGCAGACGCCCTGGCAGAGCCTCTCTGGGGAAGCCGAGGGAGCCTTGGGGTCACCCTGCAGCTATTTTGGGTGCAGAGGTAAAGCAGAAGACACCAGTCTGCCCTCCCAAGCAGGACCCCTCACTTTTCCCTCCCTCCCAGCCCCTTGCTACATGGCACGGCAGAGATGCGTGGCATAAAGCCAGTGAAAAGGCTCCCACCCCATGCCCATGGGCTACCCGGCACGGTCGCCCATCCCTCGGCATCCAGGATGAGCCCGTGCTGCTGCCACGCTGCAGGCAGGAGCCAGCCACAGCCCCACTCAGCCCGCAGTGCCTCTCAGCACCTCACTTACAAGTCAGGATCGCTGCAAGCCAAGACTGGGGGGAAGAAAGGGACTAATTAAGTCACAAATGGAGGAGCTCTTTTTTTTTTTAATGAGTCACTAAGCCATATGGCTGATGTAAGCTATCCCGCGAAAGCACGAAGCTGACAATTCAGGCGCTGCCATGTCCTCGTTGTCCTGGGACACGGCATCACACTGTAATTGCGCCAGTCTTTTGTCCTCCCTCACGCTGGGTGACATTGCTCAGCAGAGGAGAACCTGCTTGAAACGCTATACCTCGCCAGGGACAGATATTTAATTAATGCCAATACGTCAGGCCCCTCCTGCAGAAGTGTTTCCAGCCAGCTTCAAGAACAGGCTCCTCCATCCCCAGCACAACGGGGCTCATGGGGGAGAGAAAAGCCCTCAAAAGCCGAAGTATCGAGTTTGCTCCGTTCCTTCTGCTCCATCACAGCACATCACAGTTTTATATGGAAATTATACAGGATGCTAACCTGGATTTGAAGCCAGGCCAATACTCAAATAAGCTCTCAGTCTCCTTTCAAGCTCAGCAGCAGAGTCTGTTCCCGTGCCAGCACAGCCTCGTCTCTCGGTGGCAAGGGAAACCCAGAGACCCCAAGCAGCAGCTCTGCCCACTGCCCCCTTCGCCCGCCAGACACTTGCTGTGCCCAGCCACCAAACTAGCTCACGTTCTTCTTCAAAATCCCATCTGTTTCATTATTTTTAAGTTTGCATAATTAATTCACGTACAACCCCATCACCATCCCGTCCCGGTTGCTCTGCACTGGCCTGACCATGGCAATTGCCAGCCAGGGAGGTTCAAAGCCACAAGGATTTTATAAGCAACAGTTTAGGCTTCAGGAGCCCCGGAATCCTCCCTGAAGGCCATCCCCCGTTCCCACCGCTGCCTTACGGCCCTGGCACGTGCTCCCACACAACCCATCTCCATCAGCCGGGGCTCCGGCCACCATTCCCCCCCACCACCCATGCCCAGCCCGGCTCTGCAAAGGGGCGAGGGAGAGCACCGGCAGGGTCCTGCCCGCGAGCTGTGCCCAGGCTCCCGGTCCCCCCGTCCTCCCCGTCCCCTCGCAGATGGCACCTGGAGGTGAAGGCAGGGCCGTGCCGGATGGAGGAGGGAGCCAGTGCAGCCCGCGGTGCCTCCCAGTGCTCCCCAGAGCTCCCCGGCTGCTGCAAAGGTTGCACTCGTGTGCGTTCAACCACTGCCTGGAAGCGTGGTGGCAAAGAAAAAATCCACCGTTATAATTGACTCCGTAACTGAGGCAAGTATTAAAATCAGCTTTGAGGCTGAATGTCCCTGTAACCCATCTAGCAATGTGCCATGCTCCATTTTCTGGAGACGCTCTCCGCCTGTTTTCCCCCTGCTCAAGCTCTGCTTTCCTCGCCAAGGACAGCGGCGAGGCTCCGTCGCCGGCGTGCTTGCGTGCCTGGCTGCGTGCACCTTCCCTGGGGAAGCGAGTGAGGGCAGGGATCGACAAGCTGTCAGGCAGAAGGAAGAAATACCATTTCCAGGAGTCAGAGCTCATTTCCCAGCAATAAAAGCAGACCGAGGCTAGGGGAAAGAACCACTAATGGGGACGCACATCCCGCACCACTTCAGCCACTGATAGGAAAGGACCTAGGGGCTGCAGCTTGGAAAAATAAAAGCCATCAACAAACGCTTGGTTTTAAGCAGTATAGCCCTAGATTGGGTTCAGATCGGTGCGTAAAAGATCTGCCCTTCCCAACGCACGTTATTGCCGTGGACAATGCCCTCCACGTGCTAACCTTGTCTCCCTGGCTCCTAGCTACAGCTCCTCCAGCAGATGGGAAAAGAAAACATTATTGCTTCCTCGCAGGGAGGGGAATTGCTCAGATCAGCACCCTCCCTTAACCTCCCTACTCTCCCCTCCATCCTCTTCAGCCCCATTATCACCACTCCCCCCGCACACACTCCTCTGGGGACCCGAGGAAGGGCCAGAGTATCCATTGCTCATAAATGCCACCTAGAAATGAAGACCTGAAGCTTTTGTGCTTCCCAGAGTTATTTGTGGGTGGATTTTATCTCCTTTTCCATCTATTCTTGGTGCACTTTGGCGAGGAGGGTCCTTCCCGGCGAGCCGGCAGCCTGCCTTCCTTCTGCCGGGCTCACACAGCGCAGCTGCAGAGGATGCGAGAAAGATAGTTATCTCCCCAAAACGAACCCCAGAAGATACAGGCAGAACCACCAGCGATGGGGACACGCTGGAGCCCAGCCACAGACAACCGTGGCAGGAGGGGACAGTTCCTGCAAGGCAGTTAGTTTGGGTTTTAAGACACTTGCTTGTTTGTTTGTCACTGGGCAACCGAGAGGATGGAAAAAAATATCAATGTCATATTGTCACCTATGAGTCACCGCTCAGCACGGGCCGAGATGCCCCGTTCCTCCCGCCGCCGAGCACGGGGCGGCCGGGGAAGAGTCCGAGGCACCCCAAAAGTGGCTGACCCCAGCTCTTGCTGCCTGCCCGGTCCTGCCCCGATGCCTTCCCCATCCCTGCAGCTGGGGACACCAGTGGCCTGGGGACATCGGTGGCCCAGGGACAACTTTCCCGGCCTTGGAAGGCGGCACAGGAATTTGCATTTATATTTGCATTTCCTAATTGCGCCTGCGGGTTTCCTGGGGCAGCGGCTGGCTTTGGTTTCCATGGCAGGTTTTGTGCAGACCTCGAGAACCGAGGGAGGCACAAAGGGGCCACAATGGACCTGCCACTTACCCGCATCCAAGGCAGCCGTAGGGGCAGGGGCACCCACC